ACCGGCAATGGATCGGATAGGTCCTAAAATGTTCCCGAGTCAGTCTCTGGTAATTTGGCAAGCTTCTGGTAAAACTTGCATGTTCTGGGAAAATGAGTAACTGGCTGTATTATTTGAATGGCACAGCCCAGAAGAGAGTAAAGCCTGTCCCTGGGGAGCGGGTGGCATAAGGGAGAGACTAAAATCTGCGTGAGGATGGGAAGTTCCCAGGGGATGGGAGACCAGGGAGGTGGTGGGGGCGCACAGTTGGCAAAGAATAAATGGTGAGGCTTTGTCTTGGGGGAGGTGAACAAAAGCTGCTTAGTTTAGTGCTGAGGCTTCCAGCACAGTGCTGGCTGACTGCAGTTCTGGTTTGTTATAATAGGGAGGGAATGCTGTCTGCCTCCCCTGAGGATGGTGCAGTCAGCTCTGACTATATGTGGTTTAAGACCAAGGGTGTGACCTGGGATTAGGGGAGAACAACCGCTGCGAGGGGTGGGAGCTGGGGATAATACTGAAGGGCTGCAAGGGTGTGTGACTTTAAGGATCCAGCCTATTTGACAGGGAATCAGGTGTGGTTTTTGCTGTAAGGTTTCTTTTTAAAATGGGGGACGAACGGGTTTAAGTTGTAGAGGGGATTAATATCTGTTCTGCTGCTGTTTTGAATGGAAACAGGACGGCATTTCGCATTCTGGGGAGCAGAAGCCACTCCCTGCTTGAATCAGACTGAAAAATCTGCAGGGACTTTTGCCTTCATGTCTATCCTTAGCAGTTAGCACTGTCCATCTCCTTCCAAAAAAGGAGCATGCGCGTCTTGAGAAGAGGAGGACTTTGGTGCACAGAGGTTGAAGAAGGACAGAGGCTCCGAACTGAAGTAGCTTGTGATGGAAGCCTTGGAAGTTTAGGGCTGAAAATCTCTGATGTCTTCCAGGAAACAATAGTCCCTCAGTCAGGGAGACTCCATCTGTTCACACCTAGAAATTAAGCTTTCTCTGAAAGCTGATACCAATCTCCTCTTTGCTATGTGACCCTGGGAAGTTTTGCTGCGTAGGAACCCTAAAATTGGCTAATGGAGAAATACCTAGAGGATAAGGATGTGGTAAAATGGAGCTGTTGCAGCTTAGGGAGTAACTGCCCATCTGCCAGGAGGTTGTGACTGTGTAATTTCTGTTGAGGATTATGCAGATACGTTTTACCTTGCAGTTCAGACTGGCTAATGCTGCATCCAGCCACTGTGGCTCAGCTGATGGACAGCAACTTGTTAAGCTGCAATGACTTGTTTGTGCTTGATCAGATATCAGTGTTCTAATTACCTGTCTGAAGGAGAAGTGTTGGGAAAAGTCTCATGCAGCCTTAGGGAGAGATAATAAACCATTGTGAGCAAACAGTATTATTTGGTGTTTATAGAAAATGTGGGGGCTTTTGTTCTTTGCCACTGGCTGGCTGTGACCTTGGGAGCAGTCTCTTGACTGGTAGGCCACTTTGTTTTGTAAAAACACCTGTAACTACCTATTTGCTAAAAACACAAAAAATGGGACACCTGATACTGGTGTTAAGGAATTGCCATGTATCAATAAACTTGATTGGAGGGGCTTCCTGGCCTTGGCTCTTGAATCTCCACTTGTCACTGGCGTATTTCTCCTCAGAACCTTACCTGAAGGTAATGATTTCAACATGAGGCTGTTTCTGCAAATGTGGGAGAAAATACTGATTGCAGATGTGTTGTGTTTGCTCCGGATGTGTGTACACAGGAGAGAGGTATAATCTGCCCCTGATGTCACCATCTGGACTTGTAACTTTGGATCTGCGTGTTGTCAGTGGAACAGGTCACCTTTCCTGGTTACCTTTATGTCAAAAGACTGCGTGGTGTTGTCTGCTGTCCCTGGTTTCTCTCCTTCCCCCTGCAAAGCTTTGGCTGGCTGCACCTCTTGACTCTGCTGGGGTCTCTTTAAATCATTAACTCCCCTCCTTTATACTCTCTGTTCTTTTTGAGGACTTTCTGTACTGTCCAATTAATTATAAGCTAGTTTCCAGAAATTAGAAAAGACACAGTCAGCAGAACCCAGTGAAACCTTCGAGCAATGGGGCTGAGGCCCAGAAAGCTGTTTTGCCTCTGAAGGAGGATGTTATGTGACTGTGACGCTCGCTGGCACTTGATATTTTTAGAGACTTTTTTTTTTAGCAAAGTAAATTCAAAATTAAACAGCATACTTTCCTGCTCCTTGTATGGCTGCATCTTTCCATCCTTTGGGAGGTACGTTCTGGAGCTGATGTAGTAAATCAGTGATGAAGCAGATGCCTAGAAGAGTACAAATGACTTGGAAAGGTTAGCATTGGAATGGCAGGGTATGGAAACTGGTAACTCGCGGAACATTTAAAGAAGAACCAAATCCTATTAATAAAATGAAAATGAGTTGGCAGCCTCCTTGATGACAAGAACAGTGAGCTGTGAAGGTAGACAGATACTGCTCCCTTTAGCAGAGGGTATCAGCCAAGCTGGCTCTGTATCACCTAAAAATGTGTAGATCCAGCTTTGGCTTCACTGGCAGAATTGGGGGCTGGAAGAAGTATCAGGGAGGAGTGACCTTATTTGGTGCTCTGTGCCCTGTCCTTGGTTTGATCAGGAATAGACAGTGCTAATGAGGGATGTACTGTCCGTAGCTCATGCCTGAAGCCTTGGGCTGGGTGTGCTGCCCACAGGGGCTGGGGGAGCAGGACCAGCTCTGTGTGTGCTGAGACTTGGGCAGTGACCCCATGCTAATGTCCCAGAAGCACTGATCCCCGCAGCCTTGGAGAGCTGCCTGGCTTTTGAGTACTTCCAGCTTTACCAGGATTTTTTTAGGTGAAATCTAAAAACTTCTTAATGCTTGTTTAAGCTCCCTTTGTCATTATAACCTGAATTGCTGGTATAAACTTCATTCGTAATCTGTCTCTCCTTCTTAGCTCTCTGTCCTGTAATTAATACCCTGCTTAAAATCTGCTTTAACCTCATTAGCTTTCTCCTTTCCTCTGACGTAGGTAGTAGGGCTTTTTTTCCTAAAATGTGCCGATTTTGCCTTTTGTCTCTAGCTGCCAACTCCAAACAGAGTTCCTTAGGAAAATCTGCATCATGTTGGCATAGCAACTGAGCTGCCAAGCAGCTATAATAGTGATGCTTGGCAACTCGTGGGAAGGACTGCTGAGGACCTTGAGGCTTTGTGGAGCAAATCTGAGTTAGTACCTGTTGCTGGGGGGGAGCTGCTCTGCTCTCCTGGGTCAGGCTGCTGAAGGTGTTTGGTGCTGGTCAGTGGGGGGGATGTGGCACTGGGGTGCTGTGGCATTGGGGTGCTGCCTGCAGTGAGACTGATGGGAAGGCTGGGGTGTGCTGTTGGCGTGCATGCAGTGAGCTGCTGCAGCTGATCTTTAAGAGGATCTGGAGCCCCTGAGAAGATCCTGTTTTCGTGTGGAGAGACGTCAGCAGGGAGTAGGTTAAGCCTGGTTAGGTAACGTGGCAGTGGTGCCATGGTTGGTGAGGTGCCCAAGGGAGGGCAGAGGAGACTGTGGGTCACGACTCTCAAGGGTACTGAGTTGCTGTGGGTTGTGATCCATTAAGCTTTAAAAAAAAAAAAAAAATCCTTGAAATAAAGCCCCAGATTAAATATTCCCAGTCTGTGTGATTGACATGCAACTTCACAAACAGCTCATTACAGACCTTGGCTTTGCTTTAAAGAACAAAATACCACGGTAAAGACGTAAGAGCCCCCGGTGCGTGAGGGCCTGAGGACGGGAGTGCTGGTTGGACTTTGCTCTGCCAGGCAGGCTGTTTAAACACAGCAAACACCAGAAAATGTTGCTGTGTCCGCAGTGGTGGCGAAAGCTGTTATCTGGGCTGGCTTGAACCAGTTCAGCAAACACCCTGTGCTACTTCTAGTGCAGACAGGATTAGAGTTTGGGTTATGGGCTACGGCTTTCTGCATCGTCTCTGTGTGATAGCTTCTCTCTGATACATATCAAGACTGTAACTTTATTTTACAATTCACACTAGCAGTCAGTAATTCTGAGCAGCGTTCTTACACTTTGGTGCTCTCTCTGGTGAGCTTGGTGTTATCCCATACATCAAACTCCACCAAATGCTCAGAAACCTGTAATTATATCTGCATTAAATGGTGCTTGTGCCACACTCCCTGCAGCCTGGCTTGCTCCTAATGAGACCTCAGGAACCTGCTTGCAAAGCAGTTAAATTGTCAAGGGTAGAAGCTGGAAAAATGTTGTTCTGCCCGTGCCACTTCTCTTAGCACAGATCTGACTGCAATGTTTAATTGTAGTCGGAAGAGGAGGGAAAATATTAAGCTGGTGTAACTGCTGTTGGGGATGCTTAGCTAGGAGGCTTAGAAACAGCTGGGGCTGTTTTGAAGCCTGCCCTTGATTTCGGTGATTTTCTGTGTATTTGGCACAATGACAAACCTCCACAGGCTTTATTGCTGCTGTGTTAGTAACACTGGAGAGCTGCAGAGGGGAGAGATCTTGGTGTGCAGGGGTTGCCTGTTCCTAGCTGACACAAGTGGTTTTGGGAGAACTTGCAACTGAAGCCAATCAACTCTGGCACAGCAAAGTAACCTTGTAAAAGTGGAATTTCAAGACTGCTGCTTAAGCTGGATATCCTAAACGTGTACGAAGGCAATAAGTGGCTGGCATCATGCTCTTACTGTGTTTTAGAAGAACTTTCTGGAAGACAGTGAGAGTTCTCCTGTGTTGCATGGTGGGAAAGGTTATGATCAAGACTAATCCTTACAGTGCTGCCTGTACAAATCCCTACAGAGGTGAGAACAGGATCAGGAAGGACTGATGGGGATGTAAGGAACAACAAGTGAGTGTCCTGGCCCTTGGCCAAAGCCTCTTGAGTTAAGAGGGACACCCAGTAAGAGTTAACTGGTGGTGAGTGTGATGTAAGGGTTCTGGGTTAATGGGAGCCAGGTTGAGCAATGGGAGCAGCTCACATGGCTGCTTCGTCAGATGGGTGGGACTGCACAGCCCCGGCTTCCCTTTTAAGTAGAAGGGCAGGGCTTGTGCAGCCAATCCCACCAGAGCCAGCCTCGCTCATAGGCATGTGTCATGAGACTTGCTGGTATTTCCTTTCCACTACGCACTGAAATTAGCTCAGGGGAATCATTCAGTTTTAGTTCCCTTCCTTCCCAGTGGGTCTGAGCAGGGCAGCTGAGTCGAGGGCTCAGAAAGATGCTCTGCCTCTGTCTGTACGTGCCAGTGCTCGGGGAGACGGAGTTCGAATACTTTGAGTCGAAGGGGCTGCCGGCTGAACTCAAATCCATCTTCCGCCTCAGCCTCTTCATTCCTTCCCAGGAGTTCTCCACCTACCGCCAGTGGAAGCAGGTATGGCCCCGAGGGAGGAATGGGAGGGAGAGATGGAGGGATGGTCCCCGAGTGGCTGATTGGAAGGGGGAGAAGTCTGTGATGGCTCTGTCGTAATAACCCAGTACAGCATGGACACACTTCTCGTGCCCCTTGGCAGTGATTGCTGAAGTAGCGTGGAGTGGACTTTTTTCTTTCTCATTCTTTTGTGCTGAACTGGGTGAGATCTTGGTGCCCCAAAACTGTTTAAACCAGTTGATCTGACCTGAGTTAAAGAGAGAAAGGGGTTTTCCAAATTGCAGAGTCTTTTGCTTCAACTGGTCCATTCAGATAAAATGTTTCCACATCCTCTTCCTTTTCCTTCTTCTTACATCCTGCCTGCCTTCTGACAGGAGGTGTGTAACATAGTGTCAGCTCAAGCTGGTGAAGGTGAGCAGGTTTGTGCTGTGAGCAGGAGAGCGGGTCTGTGTGAGTGACTCAGCCAGAGGTGGGTGGGCTGAGCTGGGGGAGGTTGTGCAAGAACCTTTTGCTTCGGAAGGGAGATGCACTAAATCCATCTTTTTGCTGCTGCTTTGTCGTGACCAGGCTGTCATCCCAGAGAGCTGATTATTAATCAGCAAAGCTGGGGAGGCTTTTTACGCCGCTGTGCGGAGACACAAATGGGATGCTGCAGGCTGGGAAGTGTGTGAGGTCCCACAGCACTGCAGGGGCTGTGACTTGTGCAAGTGACCACAGGAACTTCTGTGGCCGAAATAGCTGTCAGTGACCAGATTTATTATTTGCTGTGAAGGGCGAAGAGCTGCAGGCAGATATTTGTTCACATCTCTGGACAAGATGCTGGGAGCTTGGCTTTCCCACCCCCCTCACACGTGTGTTGTGGGTTACTGTCGGACAGGCCTGCAGTGTTTTTGCTCTGTGGTTGTGGGGGAGGAAGGTGAGCAGAGCAAAGCTTTTATTGCCTGTGGTCTCTGATCACTTGTGGCACCTCTCTGCGGTTGTTGGGGCGTGCTGAGAGAGCCAGAGCAGTTGCACAGTCATATCTCTCTTACAGTGCCTCCAAATTATTAATGCCTGTCAACTGGGTGGGGGTTGCCAGTGAGAGGGGAAGCCCTGATTCAGCTGTTCAAGCCCAGTGTGCTGACAGGCGAGGGGTGTTGGTCTATATTTAGCCCACGAGTTGAATGTGAGGTCGTATCTGAACTTTACAACAGTCATATGATAAATGGCAGGTTGGGAATACTGGGCATACCTCGGAGGTCAGGGCAGCTGGGATGACACTTTCTTATTTAAGGTTCAGAAAGTGATTAGGAATAGCATTAGGGCTAAAGAGACAGGACTTGGTGAGTGAGAGAGTTTTAATAGCAAATTATTTAGTATTGAATAATTTAAAATGGCATTGAAACAAAGACTTAAGGCTTATGAAGGGGACTGATGGTCACAGACTGAGGAGATATCACAGTAAGCTTAGGGTTGCCTATTACCTTTGAAGCCTGAATATTGAACGAAATGTTGGTGAATGGAGGGTTAACCCAGTGTTTGATCTCAGCTCAGAGCTTCCTTGACAACCCATCTGCTGTTAACATAAATGTTACAAGCATTGAGACAAAACTTTGGGTGATGCAGTGGACTGAATCCTACTTCATTTAGTGTTGCTCACTGATTCATGTTGAAAAAGACTTAAAAACTGTCAAAGGCAGGTGACTGAACAAGAAAGGGAATAAGAACTCCCTGAGCCACATTCTTGCAGTCTGGAGATCACCTCTCCTGTCATTCAGCCATGTGCCCTTACATAGGACAGTCCATGGGCTATTGCCTCATGCTGCAGTGAGTTAATTAGTCATTTCCCATGTCCTAGATGTCTGGCACAGTTTGATCTTGATTTTAGTTTTGTCCTACTAAGAACCTTTTCTTGCTCTATATGCATCTCATGGAAACTTGTGTAATTAAAGCAAATAGCTTCAGGGTGCCTAAACCAGTTCACAGGGGTTTTTATCTTTGACTGTGTTCACTAGACCTGGACAGGCTTTTGCTGGTTGGAATGAGTTTTTGCCAGAGGGAGCTTACTTCTCTAAGGATCGTAGCAAGAAATTCCTTCTGTTCAGTGTTTTTTTTTTAATACCTCGAGTCCTGTGATTCACTTCTAATGCAAATCCGTTGCCTCATACTTACTTCAAGAACCTTCACAAGGGCTTTGTAAGGTGTTAAGATACAGTCCTGAGATGAGACACACTGCACTAGCAGAATGTCCCTGATAAAAGCATGAGGCATTCTGCCTACATAGTGAACTTTGGAAGACAGTTAGAATCAGGTGACTTTTCTACGCTATTGCTTTGCTCAGATTTCTTTGAGGAATTATAGTTCTGTCATTGACTTTCTGGAGGAAAAGTCAAAGCCATGTAGGGAAAGATCTTTAAATGCAGTAGAAGAAAGGGCTGACCTGTCTAAATCAACAAAGGGGCTGACAGGTTTTTACTGTTTTCTGAACAGAAAATTGTGAAGGCTGGAGACAAGGACCTGGATGGACAGCTGGATTTTGAGGAATTTGTTCACTATCTCCAGGACCATGAAAAGAAGCTGAGGCTGGTCTTCAAGAGTTTGGATAAAAAGAATGATGGTAAGTGTGCTTATGAGTGGACTGAGTGCCTGTGTTAGCTTGTCATACATGACTCTGAGCTCACTGGCTGATCTTTGCAGGCCGCATCGACGCCCAGGAGATTGTACAGTCTCTTCGGGACCTGGGAGTCAAGATCTCTGAACAGCAGGCTGAGAAAATACTCAAGAGGTGAAGATTCCATTGGTTTTTCTGTTTTATGTTTGAGGGGGTTAGAAAGAAATGTAGGGATGTGGAACGCCCATCTCTTTTTACCCTGTACACACTTTCCAATTACTTCAGCTCCTCCCTTTTTTCCTATTACTCTTAATTTTGATTTCCCCCCATGAATTGACATAATAAAGTCATAATGCTTTATGGAGAGTTACTATCAGAGTCTCTCCCTGACCTGCTGAGGGGAAGTGCTTGCACCTGAGCTATTTGCATCCCTGTCTGATTGTCCTGCTGCCCTGAGCTTGCTGCTTTGGAGAGGGACTGTGCAGTTGCTCTTTGGAAATGCCGAGTGCTTTATGCATGTGGCACTAACATGTTAACAACCACTTATTTGTGCTGTTTTTTTCCTCTTTTTTCCCTCTGCTACCTTCCCTCTGTCTGTTTGCCTGTGTGTCAGAATAAGGACGGGACACTTCTGGGGTCCTGTCACCTAGTAAGTATTATTTTCCCTTTAGTGTCAGTTATGTCTCTAACTTTGATAGGAGGGGGTCCAACTTCTGCTGTGGGCTGGTTAGAAGGGAGAGAGATGGGAGGAAAGAGAGCCCACTTATGCCTCTCTGTCTGGTGAATAGAAGATTTCCTAGCTTTGTCTTGTGTCTCTTTAGAAGTCTCTTAGTAGTTGCTTTGCAAAGCTTTTTTTGGTGTAAGCCTGAATAATCAAAGGGAAGGGGAGGAGGAATTTGTTACTCAGTGGGAGCCTGTGCTCATCTGATGATAAATCTTTTTAGCATGGATAAAAATGGGACAATGACAATTGACTGGAATGAGTGGCGAGATTATCACCTGCTGCACCCAGTGGAGAACATTCCTGAAATCATCCTGTACTGGAAGCACTCCACGGTAAGAAATAGTTCCCCTGCAGCAAGTCTTGGTCTTTGCCCAGCTTCTTGTTCCCCAGGAGCTGCTATCACAGTCCCTATCTTTCTCTTCATGGTTCATAGCTGCCCTCTAGCCCTGAAAGCTCAATTGCTTCCTGTCCTGTGATCTTGCCACCTATCACTGGCACAGCTGCTGGCACAAGTGATAACTGTTCTCTTGGTGTTCTCTTGGCACCTCTGAGAGCTCCTGCCATTGGCCAGCCCTGACTGGTTCAGGACCTGTTAAAACTAGAAACTGATTCCACAGGCAGCCATCCTTCCTGGAGATATTTCTGTGTGTGAATAGTAGGTAATGAAGTTTAACTGGCTGGGAGCTTGGAAGGTTCCAGAAAGGTCCAGCCTTTCTACCGTGCAGCTGCCTGCAGTTGGTCAGCTTGTTCCTAACCATGAGCCATGGTATTTTGATGCAGACAAATGTTCAGCAGTTGCCATGTTCTTGGACGGAAATCTTCCTCCTGTGATGTGCTGTGTAGCAGTGGCAGCTCCTGTGGCCAGACACAGCAGTTAGTGGCTGTAGATAAGCTGCTGACTTGGAATAAGCATATTCAGAACTTCAACTCTTTGCACTGACAAAGAGCAGTAAAACTTTGGCAAAATCACTGGCTGATGAAGCATTTCTCAACACCTTCTACTTTTGCAGATCTTTGATGTAGGAGAGAACTTGACTGTCCCTGATGAGTTCACAGTGGAAGAGAGGCAGACAGGGATGTGGTGGAGACATCTGGTTGCAGGTGGAGGTGCAGGTGCCGTGTCCAGAACCTGTACAGCTCCCTTGGACCGCTTGAAAGTGCTCATGCAGGTATGTTGGAGCAGTTCCACTCTGAATACCTGAGCAGATTCCTTTAATATTCATGGATACCTAGGAGATGATACTGTTCATCAGCACAGTACAGCACTGTGGTGGCCAGGGTTAACCTCTTATACTGCCATTTTTGAAAGCATTTTGGATTATTTGAGTGATTGAAGCCATGTTAAGTTATTCTTCACTGACTAAAAAAATACAGAGAATCTTTTGAGAGGTAGACATGTGAAAACTGTCAGTAGTTAGACAGCTTTGTGGAAAAGCTGGGGTTTGGTGAAACAAGTTCAAGTCCTGTGTTTCCTAGAGAGGCCCCTGAGACCGTGAGAGTCGAAGTGGATGTGGTGATCAGTTGGCAGAGCTTGTACTCAGTATTAGAAAGGAGTTAGAAAATCTTGATTTTAGCCTGCTTTATCACTGCACCAGCTCGTGAACCAGCTGAGAAGTTGATGGGTAGTTGATCCTAAGTTAGGTATGGGAAAAAAACAGGACAGTTGCCTATTTAACCTTTCCTCCCATTCCAGAGGGGAGATATTGATTAGATTCATTTGTTAATGCTAGACTTGGCAAAAAAGAAAAGAATCCTGCTTTTCTATTGTAAAAGTTATCTGGGAGGGATTAAAGCCTTGGCAAATCTCTGGATAAATAAAAAAGCGCCCTTTTGTCCCTGGATTACAGAAAAACGTAGGGCTGTCGAAATCGGGACTGGAGCTAATCCAGGCTTGTTTCTCTGTCCCAGGTCCATGCCTCCCGCAGTAACAACATGTGCATCATCGGTGGGTTCACTCAGATGATCCGGGAGGGTGGTCCGAGGTCACTGTGGCGGGGGAACGGCATCAACGTGCTCAAGATCGCGCCCGAATCGGCCATCAAGTTCATGGCCTATGAGCAGGTGAGTGAAAGGGCACAGACCAGTCTGGCTGCAGAAGGGTCGGTCTGCAGAAGGACAGTCTTCAAAGAAGAAGATGATTGAGATAAGTCATGGAGCCTCAATGTGTGTCTGTTCTGGCTTCTGCAGATCAAGAGGTTCATTGGTACTGACCAGGAGATGCTGAGGATCCACGAGCGGCTGTTGGCTGGTTCTCTGGCCGGGGCAATTGCACAGAGCAGCATCTACCCCATGGAGGTGAGGATGGATAGCCCAGCCCAAGGGGGCTCATGGCAAGGGGCAGGGATGGGACAATGTGGATAGAACACCAGCACTATGATAATTGATGAGTTCTTGAGGGTGATGTCAAGTACTGCTGTCAGGACACTGCTGTTGTTGTCCTGGCTGTCTGTGCTCTTAATGACATTGTACGTTTTTCTCCTGCTGATTGTCCTTTAGGCCTTCATGCTATTTATTCCTGTCTCCCAGGTTCTGAAAACACGGATGGCTCTAAGGAAGACAGGACAATATTCGGGCATGTTGGACTGTGCCAAAAACATCCTTAAAAAGGAAGGGATGTCTGCCTTCTACAAAGGCTACATCCCCAACATGCTGGGAATCATTCCATACGCTGGTATTGACCTGGCAGTCTATGAGGTATGAACCCTTCAACCTAATAATTGTTATATTATGTTACATTATATATTATTGTTAACCTGTTGTAGGGCTGTGCTGCTTGTGTGGCTTTATCACTGTCACGCCTGTCAGTCACTACAGGACTTTAAGTAATTTATCAAAGCTTTCCTGATCAGCCTTATGCGGCACAAATGGATTTTTTTTTTTTTACCCCAAATGGCCTAAAAGATAATCTAATACAATGATTCTACTTCATAAGCCACAGTCAACATCGTGCATGGTCACTTGTTTCTTTTCTTCATGAGGAAATTGCAGCAGGAAACTAAAACAGGGATTTTCCCTGGGCACTACAGTAGCAAAAGCTTAAAAAGTTTTGAGAAGCCCTGTGCTTCTGGCTGAGCTTGCCCGTAGCTTCCTGGACCTTTAAGCTGAATCTTCTATGAAATGTGGTATTCCTTTGACTGTTTCTTCACTGCTAACTTTTGGCTTGTTCCTTCTAGACACTAAAGAACACCTGGCTGCAGCGCTATGCCGTCAACAGTGCCGACCCCGGGGTCTTTGTCCTGCTGGCCTGTGGCACCATCTCCAGTACCTGTGGACAGCTTGCCAGTTACCCACTGGCCCTCGTGAGAACACGCATGCAGGCCCAAGGTGAGAACTTGTGGGAGCAGTGGGAACTCCTGCCGTAGTTTCTGAGCAGGGTAAAAGGTTCTCTAGTGTAAATATTGCAACAACAGCCTCAGCTGGGCCACGCAGCTGACAGTGGGCTCTTTGTGATGCTGCATGGGGACAGTGGACTTTGTGCTGCCCTTCAACAACTAGGGCCAAGGACCTCTAGGACAGGTTCTGTTTTCCTTAGATCAGGAGTTTTGGGCTAAGGGTATCTGTAGAGCAGTTGGAGAAAACAGCGAGGATGTGCAGCATGGCCATGGTGTGCTGAGAAGTTAATGCTGTCCCTCACAAAGCACCTTTGCTCTGTGAACATTGGAAGCACGTGACCCAGAACTGCTCTTAACGTGTTTTCACCACCTAGGCTGCTTTATTGATTGTGGCTTTCCCTGTTGCAGCTTCAGTGGAGGGTGCTCCCGAAGTGACAATGAGAGGACTGTTCAAACACATCCTGAAGACAGAGGGAGCGTTTGGGCTTTACCGGGGTCTGGCGCCGAACTTCATGAAGGTGATCCCAGCTGTGAGCATCAGCTACGTGGTGTATGAGAACTTGAAGATGACTCTGGGCGTGGATTCACGGTGACCAGGAGATGCTGAGGACTTTGAACTCTGAAATCTTGGGATGCAATCCCAAGACGTATAAGCCATCTCTCATTCTGTGAATGTGTCGACACTAAGCTGACTAAGCAAAGCTGTGAAATCCCAGATTGTTTGTGAGTCAGTAAGGGGGAGGGGAGGATCTGGTGTCCTTTGCCATCTTGCTACTCAGAGCTCCACATAAACCATCACGTGGTCCTTTTTGTTGGGCCTTTGGGAGACCAGGAGGTGAACTCCTGGGAGAATCTTAGGGCAGGAGTTGCTGAGTTCAGTTCCCAGCAGTATGACAGAGTAGCAAAGATCTGGGTTACAGGTCTGCCCTCAGCCTGTTCCTGTACAGAGCTGTTTGCCTACAGATGAGCACCTTCTGACTTGCTGAAAGAGCTTCTTTTTCCATTCAGAGAGCTGCTTTTTCCATTCAGTTGTTTAACTTCCTACCCATTGTTTAAATTTGTACAAACCTCGTGTAGGAGCTGCTGCCACACCGGGCTTGTTATAATGTTTACAAATATTCCTTTGGGTAGGAGACATTCATGTTCTGCTTCCAAGACTTGACATGAAATGTAATTTTGATCTATACTGGTTTGGAGGGCTGGTGGGCAGTGGTTTATCCAGTCAGGCTGAAGGTTGCTTAAGCCAGCCTGATGAAGAATTAGAATTATTTATTTTTTATAGGTTTAAGTGTGTCTCATAAACCCACTAACAAGATGCACTTACTAACAGAAGCAGCAGACTAGAGCCTGCATGCCTGTATCCTTTGCATGCTGGGATTGGCTTGTCTTATACTCAGCAGGGGCTTGGGAAGGGGAAGGCAGGAGAGCCCTGGGCTGACCGGCACTGTGATGCATGGCTTTAGTGAACAAACACAATATTTCACAGCTCCTGTGCAGTTGTGCTCCCAGCACGACGTGAGAGCCCCTGTGCAGCGTTGCATGGACCTCTCAATTCCATTCTGCCTGGTGCCAAGGAGAGCTGTTGGGCCTTTTCCAAACCCCGTGCCTACGCTGCTATTTAATCTCTTTAGACCTCTTGGTAGATGGATGTTCGGGTTTCCATGGGTGCCCCGAGTCAGGAATGTCTGCTGTGGGAGGGGGTGTTAGGGAGAGGGGCTGGTTGTCACTGGGAGAGGTGAGCTTTCAGTCCTGAAGACACGCTTGCTTGTCTTTCAAAGGGTGCTTTTCATAAGGCTAAGGGAAAGAGATGGCTTTAAAATTTCTCTGATTGCATTATGGGCTGCTTTAGTTAATAGGATCCGGCTTCTGAGGCCTGGGAGATCCTCGTCCAACTTTTCATTTTGGGCAAAATGGACCAACGTTGCATTCCACTGTTTTACTGCTTAAAGCATATTTATTTTGTATTTATTTGAACAGAGTTATGTTGGACTATTTTTATAGACTTGTTTAAATATTGTTACTTTGCTTATATTTCTCCTGTTTTAAAAAGTTCTCTATTAGTTCTCTCACATCACACAGCTGAGTCGTGGGGAGGGACGCTAAAGTCACTCGTGTACCCTTCCCCGTGGGGCTTGAGCTGCCTTTCCCACGTCTGGGGTTGTTGCTGGAGGACCTCAGCCCAGAGAAATTCTGTAGCAAGAAGCCATAGTAGAGAAGGGAGCAGGTGAGGAAGCAGAAACCTTGGGGAGAGGGTGCACTGTGAGGCTTGCCTTAGCTTGGAATTGCCTCTGTGCATGGCTGAAAAGATTTGGGTGGATGGCTGAAGTTGGGAAGTAGAAGGTGTGTGTATGTTGGATGTCACAACAGCTAATTAAGAGGGATTTTGGGAATTTTTAGGTGAGGGGGGAGGAGAGAAATCTCAGGGACTAAAGACAATACACATTTCCAGAGAGGTGGAAGGAAACTTGCACTTGGACACGAGCTGGATCAGTGCTTTGAGGCTGAATCAGAAGACCCTGCTGCTGAGCCAGTGCTCATCACATGCAGGAGGACATGGTGAAATGTGTGTGAGAAATTGGAGAAGGATTTGCTAATACTCAGCAGCTGCTTTTTTTCTGACAGATTTTGGTGGTTCATGGAGAGTCTCCCAGGTGAGGCTCTGCCTTAACTCTCAGTGTTGTCAGTAGCAGCCACATGGAAATCTAACCAATCTGGATCAGTGATGATTTTTTTCCACCCCCCTCTTCCTGAGACCTGTCATAAATTCTGCAGTGGCTCCTTCCTACCAGTGTGGCCTAATGAGAATATGAATATCAGAATGCAAAAATCAATGCAAAATGACAACCATCTTTGTAGCTGTAACCATAAATTGTTATAATGCAAATCTAACTCGGATTCTTCATGTAGGGAACAGTCTGCTAATAAAGGTCTGTTAAAGAGATACTGCGTGCCTGCATCTCTTTCCTGATATGGTTTAGTGATGTTGTTTGTGGCCAGACTTTTCCTAGGATAATTCTCAACAAGGACACTGACACTGGGAAGGATTCTCCCTATGAAGACCTGGGAGAACAGAATTCTTAAATGCAAAGACAGCAGGACCAAGGCTAATGCTGGTGGTGATGAGTCAGGGATGTTCTGACACGGTTTACCTGTCTCTGGGTGTTGCTGGACTTTGCTCATGTGTGCAGTATCCATAATACTGTGTTCAGAGAGGTAAATTTCCCAGAAAAATTGAAAGCTCTGCAGTCCAATTATCCCCTTGGAAGAACCTGGCTTACAGGGTTCTCAAAATAAAGGCTTTGTACCATTTTTTCTTAAATAACAACCCAACCAGCAGCTAACCCTGAAGGTCATTCAGGAGCCATAGCTGGTAGTGCAGGTGGCCTCTGATTTGGTTAACAAAACTTGCTGCGGGGGCCAGACTGGATTTGTTGGTTCCTTATGTCTCTGACTGTAATTCAAGGCTTTTACTCAGCTATAAATCCACTCATAAAGTCTGGGTCCTTGTAATCTGAGCTCTCCAGCAGTGTCAGCTTCAGTCAGCTGAGACTGTTATCGATGTACTCGTGGACTGCAGTGCTCAAGGCTGCTGCTGGCATCCCCCTCAGCACCCAGGGGGTGATGTTTCATGTCACATGGTGATAAAAAGGTGTCTGAAGCAAGGGCTGGCTGGGTGCCTGTGCCCTGAGACCGGGAGGGGTTTGGCCTCTTCTCCCAGGCAACCAGGACAAGAGCAAACTGCCTTAAGCTGTGCAAGGAGAGGTTCAGGTTGGACAACAGGAGGAATTTCTTCATGGAAAGGGTGGTCTGGCATTGGAAGGGGCTGCCCAGGGAGGTGGTGGAGTCACCATCCCTGGAGGGTGTCAGGGAAGGACTTCACATGGCACTCAGTGCTCTGGGCTGGGTGACAAGGTGGGGATGGGGCACAGAGTGGACTTGATGATCTTCGAGGTCTTTCCCAACCTTGATGATTCTGTGATCCTGTAAAATTCATTATTGCTACAGGAATCTGTGCAAAGGCTCAACTCTGAAACACTGCCCAGTAAAGGCTGGACAGGGACAGGGCACCCTGGAGCTGCAGTGGGAGGATCAGGGCTCGCTGCTGCCTTCCCTCCAGCTTTGCTCATTTTCTTCCTTTTTAAGGAAGAGAGATATTTTCAGTGCTTAATTACTAGGTTAGAGCAGAGACTGGATTACTCTCCAGACACGCAGCAACAGCAGTCTCTTATTAAACTCCCCCACTTACACAAATGCAATGACGGTGCTGTCCTCCCTTTGGGGCTGGGGGTGGGATAAGAGATGGGTGAGGTGCCTGACAAGTGCAGGGGTGTACCAGAGGCACAGAGAGCAACTTCAGCCTTGGCACTTGTATCTTCTCGCCTCCAGGGTGCTGAGCTTACTGGGAAATGAGAAAACACGGCCCTTTCTCTGGGAAAGTAAAAATCCAGCCTGGGATGGGCCAGCACCCCCTCCCTCTGGCAGGAGGATAATTTGTCAGTGTCATGGTGTGCAGATCTTGCTGTGGATGGACATTACTGGTGAGCATTTGCCAGGTCCAAAGGGTTTGGCCAGGAACATCTGCTCCAGCTAGGCTACCTGGCAGTCAAGCTGCTGTCAGGGGAATTGGGTGGTTTCTTCTAGCTAAGCACCCTCTTCCTCAGGCTGTACAGGTAAAGATAAGTTTCCAGCCTTGTGTATATGCCACTTGCTCCTCAAATGCTTGGCCCGCTATTTAACATAGTTAATGATTGCCCTCTCCTGGTTGGCCTCTCTTACTGCTCTTTTTCAGTGCTGCTTTTCTGGCAGAGCTCCCTTCCAAGCTTGGTGTTCAGCTCCAGGACACCTCTTCTCAGCTCCCAGCTGAATGACACACAAGGTGAACTGGATATCCAATTTCTTTTTTTGCAAGCCCCACTTGTGACCTCTTCAGAACCCTCTGTTCTCCAACAGCTCGGCAACAAAATGAATGGAATTTGAAGAAAACATTTATTGCTGAAGTGGGGTCAGTTCCCTGCACTCCCAGGCTGGAGGGTACCTGGAGGAGGTGATGCTGTGCCCTCAGCCATGGGCTCCGTGTGTGGGGTGTTTCCTTTTTCTACCTCTTTTGTTTGACACAGCTCCTGTCAAAACAACAATAACAGGATAAGTGAAAATGCCAAGGCACCAGCAAGAGAGAATTTACTGAAGAAAGTAGTTCCCTTTCCCCTTTTTAGCTGATTATATGTCAAAGAGGGGCTAAGGAAGCTCTGGGCTTCCCCAGGCACAGACACTGCCCAGCTGCTGCTGGTGACACTTTCCAGGTATCTGCTGGAAAGAGTTTGCCCCACGTTTCTGGGGCAAAGCTGTGCTACACTGGGGGTTCGGTAAGTGAGTGCTGAAGGACAGGGGAACTCAAACTTCTGCTGAAATAAGTAAAAAGTTAGTGCTACCCAGGCACTTGGTATAGGTTAAGATCTTATTGCCTGGGGCTGGTGGAGGGTTATGTGAGTCTGCTCTGATGCTCTGTTCACATCCATCTCCTTCAGCCTGATTACAAAGGTCTCCAAAATATTTTCTGTGTTTGTTTAATCAGTTTTTTACTCCTTGGATGCAGAGCCCTACCTTGGCAGGGCACAAAACTCTTTTCTGCCAACGCCAATTGCACCGCAGCTTGTAAGGACAACCAACTTTGTCTTGCTCCACTCTACCTTTCCCCAACCTTCATTTACCTTGTCCAAATTTAAATGTGACCCAAATGCCCCTGCAACCCCCAGTCCACAGCTGCTTGTGGTTAGTGTGGGGGAGCTGGGCTCTTCCTCACAGGTGCTGCTTGTTGCCTAAATGAGGAAGGAGACCTGGCCCTGCCACAGCAAGAGGGTTTCACTCTCTGCCTTTTTCCCTGCCCCCAGTTCCCATGGCCTGTGGAGCATCTTGGGGCTGAATGGGTGCTGGGGACAACGTTGCATCCAGCCCTGCTGCTTGGTGTGGGGTTTTGGGCATCTCTGAAAGCTCAGAGCCTCCTGAGGTGGATGAGCAGGATGGAACAGCAAAAGGTAGGATACATTTCACCTTCACTTTTCAAGCTGACTTGGGGACTGGGTCCTTTGCGGGATAAAATGTCCTAAATAAGATGGCAAGAGGCAAGGGCTGGGTCTGGGTAATGTTTTGGTGAAAAACCTAAAGGAAAAATCTCCGTTGCCCTGTCCCCTCCTGCTCCTTACTGCAGCTCCTGGGGGCAGCTGGTCTCTGCTGGGGATTGAGGAGGCAAAATCAGGAGTTTCAAGGCAAAATGAGGAATTTCAGGGCAAAGATCCCATGCTGTAGCTATTTCTCTCCCAGCAGTGGGAGGCAGTTAGCAGGTTTCCCTGGAGATGCTCAGGTTCAGGTATTTGCTTTCAGGAGTCACCTATCTGCAGGGGGGTGTTATTTTAAACCTCCATTTAAGTGAACCTGCTGTTATTTAGCCCCCTAAATCGTTTCCACCACCCTGAAAATGCTTCTCCAAGACTCCAGTTTGGCAGCTGGCGGGTATAGCCTGGGGTGGGGGCTGTGGTGGCTCTGCTGACCCTTGCCCACCCACAAACACCCACGTACTGTTTTCCAGGGTGCATAAATGATCTCCTCTTCCCTCAGCCCCAGGCACTTGGCGTGGTGCTCGAATTCCTCACGGTCAGCTGTGCTCATGCTCAGGTTCCGGGCTGGAAGAGGAGAAAGCATTTGCCCAGGAGTTAAATAGGAACTGGTAACAAAACTGGTGTTTTGGGCATCACTTTTTTTAATCTCCCAAACTACTCCAGTTCTGTCTGCTTTGAGGGATGGCAGGATAGTCTGACATTCCTGGGGTGTTGGGAGGGTCCAAGCCTGAGTATGGAGGCAGTTTTCTACATGTACCTTCAAACTCTATTAAGCAATTGCTTTGCAGCTTGGATGGGTGATGGGGAGCTTTATCAGGGTCTAAAACTACTTTATGAGGTTGTGGGTAGATCTGATCAGCTTTGCCTGTGCTGGCACTGCAAAGCCATGTGCTCTGCCCTGGGAGATAAGCACTGAAACACCGTGGTTGGCTTGAAAATATTGAGATTTTACAATGATATCGATGCTGAATTGTGTTTGCTTCCCGTTCTTTAAATATTTATGGCCTAAGTGGGTTTGGCCTTAAACGTGTTCTTTCTGCTCTGCCAAGAGATGTGGGGTTTGATGGGGTTTGTAAATGTTCCTGTGACCCCTGGGGCGTCGGTCTCAGAAAAGTCACTGACTGTTGGTTGTGTTGCTGTTGTGTGGTTTTGATAATTTTGTGTGTGTGTTTTGGTGTCCCATGACAACTTAGAGTTACTTTGGGAAGGAGTTTGCGTACCATAGAGATACAGTCCCAAATACGTCCTTTCCCTCTGCAGTTGGTACTGGATGAGTAAAAGGTCTTCAGAGCTGAGGTTCATCAGTGTCCCCACAGTTTGCTGGGTCTTGGCTGGGAAAGAACAACCACAATATTCAGATTTTTTTAGTGCTGCAGCAGCAATAAGCCCCAGCCCAGGTGTGGGCAACACCAGTAGCCCCTGGAATCCAGCCCTCAGCAGTGTGTGGGGACAAATGTCCTGACATGAGGTGACTTGTTTGGTTCTTGGTTTATTTGAGTTGTATTTCTTAAATGAGGGGCTGGGGTGTGAAGGAGCCAAAGTCACCCAGCGGCTGTCCTGCTGTTGGAATGTGCTGCATGGTGTGGCATGCTGAGGCAACCCAGGGGGTTGCAGTTCCCACCCTTAATGGCTCACCCTGTTTCCTCTGCGAGGGGGAAGCAATTCAGAACGAGAGGCTCCATTAACTCACTGAAAACTGCCATGGAATGTTCTCTCCTTTCCCCGAGGGACTGTGAAATAACTTCACGAACAAGATGGTGTGGGATGGGAGCAGGTTTGCTCCTGGAACAGCATTGCTCTGTGGGGTTTAACGTGGCTGGAAGGGCGGGCAGTGATCCCCTGGGTGTTCTGGGGCGGGGAGTTGTCCCCTGGCCCTGGGGAGCTGTTTGGAGCCCACCGAGGCTTCAAACAGGCAAAGTGACCCAGGAAGAAAATGCACCAGATGATGTGAAACATGGACATGGGCTCTTTGTGTGTCTCAATCCATGGAAAAACAAGGGCTGGGGGATAATGGGTGCTCACCGTGCTTCACCAGCGTGGTGTTACCGGCGGCGATTTCCAAGTAGGTGAGGTTGTTGGTGAGACATTGGTCCCCCCTGGAGAGAGAGGGGGGGACAGGGGGTGATGCCATGGGCTTGGAAAGGACCAGCAAAGACCCAGCCCTGTCCTGACCCCACACCGGGCATCTGCCACCTCCTTCACAGGGTTAACTGCTCTCACTGTTAAAATTAAGGCATGAGATGTTTTTCCACCCTGAAATAATTGAAATTACAAATTGCTGCCTGTGTTGGCACAGAAAAAAAAAATCATCCCCTGAAAGTCTGACCCTGAAAAGGGAAACACTTTCTGGTGCCTGGCAGAATCAGTGGCTGTGGCACTGGAGAGGTCTCCTCCTCCACAGAGGTCTTCTCCTTGCCCACAGGGCTTGGTGCCTGTGAGACCTTTTGTGCCCTGCAAAATTCACCCAAACCCAGGGACTGTTGAAATAAATAATTAAATGGAGTGAGGAAGAGATGGGAGAGGATGCCCAGAGCAGCCAGGAGAGAGTCTTTTTGGAGAAATCAACCTGAGATCGTGCTCATATTTTGTACTGAGGGGCTGTGGGGCTGCAGCAGGTGGGAGGGGATGGGTTTGGGGTCTGCATCTTACGCGGCCACGTGCTGGGTGATGAGCAGCTCCTGCCCATCCGTGAGGGGCTCCACGTACAGGTGCCCGTGGTCGATGAGCAGCATCTCCAGGAGGTGCCTGGGGAACTGGGCAGCCCCGGCCACGTACAGCCACGTTCCCAGCAGCTGTGGGGAGAGAGGGGCAGGGAGGTGAGGGCTGCTGGGTTTGCAGGGGAGAGCTGTGGGGAGGAGATTCCCACCCTCCCCCTGGCAAAATTGGCGTTGTTTGAGAGTTCTCCCTCTTGCGCCACACTGGCAGCAAACGGATGAAACCTTTGCAAACACACCAGAGGAGAAAAAAAATAGCTGAGTGTGGGGATTGGAAAAGGTGCTGGCGCCGGCTGTGGGTGCTCTCAGTGGTGCAGAAGGGTCAGGGCAGCCCGGCGCTGCCGTGGGGGATTTGCTCCAAAAAATACCCAACCACTCCCCTTTTTTCGAGTTTTGCTGTTGGGACTTGCTGGGGTATCCCGAGAAAACCGGGTGATTAGGGGGTGTTTTGGAAAGCTGCGGGTGTTTCACTGAGGGCAATCCCTTGGCAGATGTGCCGGGCGGGGAGGACGAGGTGGGGTTTCCCCCTTTCCCACGGGACGTGGGAGGCTTGGCGGAGCACTCACAAATTATCTGCGGGAGCGGGGCAGCCCCCCAGGGCTCGTGTCTCTCCTACCTTGGAGGCCGTGGCGTTGTCAGGGCGCAGGGCTCGGCAGGGGAAGGCAGCTGCCATGGGCAGCAGCACCGCGAGGCCGAGGGTGACCACGATCCCGATCCCGGCCATGGCTCCCGGAGCCCGGACAGACGGACGCGCTCGCTCGGCCGCTGCCTCTTGCAGCCCTGCTGGGAGGGGACGGGATGTGCCCAGCGCTACTGGCTCCGCACTGGTGATGCAATCATCACTTTTTAGGCACCTACGCTCGCCCTGGCCTCGGCTGCAGCCGAGGATGGGTGTGGGCTGTTGGTGATGGGGGACGATGCAGTTGTTGCATTTAAGACTTAAATCTACCCTCCCTAAATCTGGCCATTTTTTTCGCCCCCAAAACCAGCTGCTGTAGTTGCCTCTTGCCCTGCTGATGAGGCATGGTGCAGCTGCCCCCATCTCAGGCAAAACCCAGGGTGGCTTTGAAGAGAAGGGAACGTGTTTTTGTGTCCTTGTCAAAACCAGCCATAAAAATAGGACTGATGGGTGCCAGGAGCTCACCCCCACTCCTGCTGGACAGATCTGTAGCAGCTCCCTGATTTCCCCCTCCCTGTCCCACTGCTGTCCCTGTGCCATCCTGCTCTGGCATTATTTCTGTTTAGCTTTTCCCTCTGGTAGCAAAGCCTCCCTGAATCCCTTGGTCTGGCCCTGGGTGATGGTTTTTCCCCCTGTCTCCCCTTTCCCTTGCTCAGGGAAGGCATGATGCCACCCTTTGTCACCCCACCCCACTGTGACCCCTGTGCAAGGTCCCTGATGGGGACACAAGATGGAACCTTATGGGATTTGGCTTGAAAATTGAGGGTGGGATGTTCAGGTGCTGAAAGTGCCGTGGTGGAGGAGACTTGAGGGGGTTTTGCGTGTCTCCCTGTGGGGTCGGGGCTGATGAATTGGTGCTCACATCCCAATGTCTTGAGGATGGGACCCCCTGCCACCACAGAGCTGATGTGAGGGATGAGCATCTCTGTGCCTGCTGCCATGCCTGGCCCTGTTTGGGTTTTGTCTGGGGCTTTTCACACCTCTTGGCGGGTTTGGAGATGCAGCACCATGGGCAGGGCATGCAGGAGGAGGTCCTGCACATGGTGCCAGAGAGGATGGAGCAGGAGCAGCCAGTGGTTGTAACACAGGGGTTTATTTTAGGTCCAGATGAGAACAGTGAAACTGAGTGTTTAACCCATGAGATAAAAACACAGCCTAGATAGGAGCTCCTGAGGCTGCACTGAGCCTGGCTGTAGGATGAGGATGGAACAGCTGAACTGGTCCATGGGGTTACCCCAGCTATGGATCTGCATCACCTTCATCTGTTTTCTCCCCAGGCAGGGGACAGGCATCCTAGAAGAGAGGGGAGAGTGGCTGTCAGTGCCCCTTTGCCCCAAAACCACCAGGAATGGCTGGGTTGGGTGCTCAGGGAGGAGGGAGGATGCACAGAGGGGAAGCTGCAGTGGGGAACCACACACCCCACCCAGAATCCCATCCCAACTGGAGACAGAAGCTGGCCTGGGGCTCGCCCACCCTGGGCAGGGGTTGGTACCTCTATGGAAGTGTAGAACATGTCCTCCTCAGTGAAGCCCAGACAGTGCAGGTGGGCTTTGAACTCCTCCATGTGTTCCTTGCTCACATTGGGTGTCCGTGCTGTCAGAGAAATGGAGAAGGGGGGGGAGGAACAAAAGGGAGTTTTAGGGGTGTTTTGCATCTGGGTGATCCCCATAATGCAGATGTGGAGCCCACTCCTGCCTGCCCCCATCTTTTCCCCTCTCTGTATCAGTGGAAAAGGGGCTTTTTGCCCTGCCTGTGAGTGTTGGTGGTGTCTGTGCCCCTTGTCCCTGGCCAGGGCTTTGCCCCACATACCCAGGCAGCATCCACTCACCTGAGAGGCTCAGAGTTGGCGAGTCAATGTTGATTTCGTTCAGGATCAGCAAGTCCTTGTCGCTTTGGATCAGTGTGGCCATGGAAGCCACCTGGTTATCATCAACTGGAAGGCATGGAGAGAGTGGGATCACCCCATGTTGGGTCTCACCCTGGGCACAGCTGGCAGGGGCTGCTCATCCCCTTTTACTCTTGAGACTCATCCCAGTGGGGACCAGTCTGGTCCCACAGCGCTGCTGTACCCATTGTGTGGGGTGGAATAATTTCCCCCCCCACCACCTCCAGACACGACTTTAGGTGTAAAATGGCTCAGGGTGCCAAGTTCTGGGGGACAGAAGCAGGAGAGTCCCAGGTGCAGCTGCGTCCCCCTTTCCCCTCCCTGTGCCCTGATGGGGCCTCACCGTGCACCACGGTGGAGTTCTGCTGCAAGACCTGGAGCTTGCTGTTCCTCACCACACACGTCCCGTTCCTGTGGGGCAGAGAGGTCAGATGGAGCAAATAGCCCTGAGAATCCCCCAAGCAAGGCCGAGGGACTTGGAACTTGAGTGGGGCTGCAGAGCTTAAATAAACACGTGGCACAGCTGCTCTCCAGCCCCAAATTTGCCAGGGTGCCTCAGCCCAGAGGAGGGCACCAGCAGCTGGAAGTGCCCCTGGGGATGGGGGAGCTTGATGAGGGGGTGAATGCCTGTCCTTACAGTCTCATGATTTCGGTGATGTTGAGCTCGTCCTCACTGCTGCCAGGGAAGAAGGAAAAAGCGGCGAATGTCACTGCTTTTAACTCTGCCAGGTGAGGGGGGTACCTGGAGGCACCGCCGATGTAGAACCATTGTCCCAGGAGCTGCAGAGGGGAGGGAAGTGGGGAAGGTTGGGGCAGCCATGCCTGATTCACCCATGGGCACCACATGAGTGAAAGCAGATGCAGTGTCCTGCCATCCCATTGCCACGAGGACCCCTGGTAGGCGACCACCCTGGGGCAGGATCCAGGCTGATGGGCTTTATCCCCTGGGTTTTGTCCCCTCTCTGCCAAAGTGCTGCTCCAGTTCCCAGTCTGTGGTGGTGTCCCTCCTGCTCTGTGCCCAGTTGTCATTGCTTTCCTCCCATTAAACACTCCCAAGGGACTACATACTGTTTATGCAGTGAACGGTTTGCGGATGGAGACTCGTGACCTGAGTTGCCAGCACTTGAAGAACTTAAAACAGAGTGATGAAGCACTGGGATGATGCTGCCCAGCCTGGCTGTCACGAGGAAATGGAAGCAGGAGCCTCCCAAAGTGCCTGCTCATGAGATTGTGTGTGTGCAGAGCTGTAAGGCTTCACCCCTTCACTGTGCCCCTGTGCAGCAGTCTGGAATATTTTTTTTTAAGGAAAAGCAGCATGGATAGACAGCAAGATAAGCATGGAGCTGATGGGTCCATAGCCTCTTCCTGGACCTGTAAGGGCTAGGAATGCTGATAGTAAAGGAGAGGATGGGTGCCTCAGATTAGGCAGGGCTTACCCTGGGGACGGTGGTGTTGTCGAAGGTGATCGGGACGAGTGGGGCGCAGGTGGGGGGCTCGGTGGCGAGGGCCAGGGGCAGCCCCAGGAGGAGGGTGAGGGTGGCCAGCATCTCCTGGCCAGCTGGGAGGATGTTCCTGCTCTGCCAGGCTGTGGATCAGCTCTGTCCCTTATATACAGGTGCCAGCAGCGCTGGACATCCCCAGCCCCAGCGTGCCTGTTCCACTGCTGGGCTGTTTGCTCAGGCATGAAGCAATAGCAGGTGGAGGAAGTTCAACTTGCAAAATCTTGGATTTGTCCAACAGAAAGAGATGAGAAAACTCCACCACCACAACGCTTCACCAGTGCAGGCCTTTTTTCTCAGAAACTGCAACTAATTTTGTGGGTGTGGAGCACTTGTCAGCTCCGGGTGTGTTTGGAGGTATTGCGGGCACTGAGGGGACCTGGATGTGGCTTCCCTCCAGAGGGCAAATAAACCTCCACAGAGGTGGATGGGTGGTGGTTGTTCACCTCTGGGCTTCAGTTCACACTGGCCTTGCTCCCTGCCAGGGCACAGGGCTGGCACAGGGGTCCACACGTGCTCTCAGGGGGCAGATGCCAGGGGGGTTTCTGTGGGGAACGAGGCCTTGGGTACGAGGCAGGAGACCCATCCGTGCAGTGGGCTCAGGCTTTTAACAAACTGCATAAATTGCAGCTCCTTCAAACGCAGAATCTCCTCATTTAACAGCGCCTCAGAGCTCCTCTAATGTTGGCTCTGTAATTAGGTGCGGTGATTGATTTATTAGGTGTGTTTGTTTTTGCGCAATTCAGGACCAGCAGCTCGTGTGAGGGACAGCCCCGACCCAGGTGGGTTTTAGTGCCAGAGCTGACCTGGTGCCATCACCCAGCACCCCATCATGCCCCAGGGTGTCCCAGCACTACTGGGAAGGGGCAGAGCACTGGGTGAGCAAACACAGCTCAGCCCCTTCCACTGCTCCTTTCGCAACCGGGACCAGCCCAGGCTGGGTCTGTGGTGCAGCATAACTGGGTTTTTCCCTCCTCCACCTTCTTTTCCTCCCTCTTTTTGCCCCTGCTTTGCCCCTTCACATTACCTTTTCTTTCCCCTTTTCCTTTCCCCCCCCTCCTTTCTTAGTTTCCTATGAAGAAGCAAAAAAAACCACATTTTCCAGTCCCATTTCATTGCCTCAGTTTTAAATATTTATTTAAAGTCCAAAAAAAAAAAAAAAAAGGAAAAAGAAAAGGAAAAAAAAAGCTTTAATGAGAACAAATGGTAACTGCAGCCTCAGGAAAACACACAAAACCAATGGCAGGGGATGAGAGATGGAGAGACCTGCAGTGTGGGGGGTGTGCAGGGAGGAAGCGAGTGATGGGTGATGGTGATTTTGGCCTGGGGGTGAGGTATTTCTGGCAGGGGCTGCGTGGAGGGCGAGGTATTTGGGACAAATCCTGTTAACCTTTTCCGATGGTTGTTGGACACCAACCAGCAGGCAGTAGTTAAAAAAAAAAAAAAATAAAAAAGAATACACGAAGAGAGACTCACAGATAATTTTTTTTTCCTCAAAAAAATAAATTCCATAGTCCATATGAGACATGAAAACTCCAAACAGGCACTGAAGTTTCTGATACAGTACAGCTCTGATTACATCAATATTATTCCTTATATAGAATTAAAGATTACCATAATTATCCTCTTTAAAAAAAAAAAATTCCTCCAAATTTACATATAGAGACTAAATTTCTACAAAACTTAACAAAACAAAACCCCTCCAAGCCTGGCTGGGTTCTGAAACAAGGTACCATCATGTCAGTCTTGACAGAGGGGCCGAGGGAAGGGTTGCAGAGCTGGGTTTAAATATGAGCTTAGCCCAGGGAGTCGCAGCTGGCACGGACACAGGGCCAGTGCAGCTACAGCCCAACTAGTTAGTTACATGACAACTGACTCAAAAATAGCTGAGGCTCAACACTTCCAGATGAGCTGTGTCCCTCACTCTCCTCCCAAAGCAGTGAAGTGCTGATGAACAAAAAAAACAACAAAAAATAAAAAAGCAAATTTGCTTGTGAAGTATCCTGTAGGTGATTTTGGATGCAGTGGGAGTTGTCACATGTGATTGACATCCAGAGCCAATAAAGGATCCCTTTTAAGGCGATTTGTTTCTCTGATTTAGCTGTGGACTGTAAGCTCCTCTCTTCCCAGAGAGAGGTGATCCTATGAGGCTTTTTGTTTTTTGGGTCTGTGGCAAGACACTGTAGCACCTTCACAACCTTAAATAGTTTAAAATCATATATATAAAATAACACACTTTTTTAAGAGCACCAGAGATTTCACAGTGAGAGGTAGAAACAAATCAGACGAGCCCATTCCCTCTCTCTATTTTAGCACCAATCTCTTCCCCCCTCCTCCTTCCATTTCCCCACTCTTGGCTTCAGGACTCTCCCCCTACCCCAAACACCACACGTGAGAGGGGATGTTGATCAAACTCATGGAAGGAGGAGGAACTTAGCTTTTTTTTTTTTTCTTTCTTTTTTTTTTTTCCTTTTTCTTTTTGCTTTAAATAATATAATATATATATTTCGTTTCTTCTAATATTGCACATCAAAATGCTTCCTGTACACAGAGCGGCCCAGATTCAACCTGCAGCTCCGCCTGGGAGACCTGATGCAGCACGTGGCCGTCCAGAAGGTGACAAGCTCTGAGAGGGAAGCTCTTTTTTTTTCTTTTTTTTTTTAATTATTTTTCTCAATGGAAAGAACATTTGGTAACTCAGGAACCAGACAAAATGGGTGGTGGTGGTGGCGGTGGGTGGCTGGAGGGGGGTCGGGGAGAAACAACAAAAAAACCTGCACGCTGCAAGTCGCTTGAGGTTTCTCTCCATGTTTTCTTTGGTCATGGGAAAAGCTTTATGTGTGGAACCGCAACATCCAGTCCCCCTGATCCCTTTTCACTGGCCACGTCCCGACTGACGCCCATTTCCCCTACGTCCTTGTTCTTCCTCCTTCCAACAACCGGCTGAGTTCAGCAGATCACGGGTTCTTTGAGACCTTGAGCCAAAGGCTTAGGAGCAAGAGTTGACCCAAAAGACACAGCCCAGCTGCCCTTGCTGCAGAGAGGTGGGAGATGTCCTGTGTAAGGACAGGCCAGCCGTGGGGTCGGAGCCTCGGAGCCCAGTTTCCATAGCTTGGTTCAAAGGAAGCAGACGGGGCCGACCTCGAGGTGGTATTGCTTTCCTGGCTCGGATGGGGGGAGGTTGTAGATGTTGACAATTGGCAGCTGCTGAGGGTCCTGTGTCCGAAACGAAAAGAGAGTCCGATGCCAGCGTCCATCCTTGATCTGTGCAGGGAGGGGGGACAGAGAAAAAGCTGATGAGCTGGGGGGGTGCATCCTGCTGGAAAGGAATGTGGTTCATGAGAGAAGGGATGGTTCTTCAGGCTGAGCAGGTCTGGGGTGGGGTTTAGAGAGCACTGTGGGGAATCCTTTACCAGGCTGATGAAAATACAACTTGGATGGTACCACCAACACAAACTCCTAATTCAACGAGCCCAGATGCAGCCCTGTGGCTCTTGACTCTGCATGGCATCGGGCAAGAGCCACATCCACCACGCACGGGTGGCCATTCCCCCTCTTCTGCCATCTGACTGCTGCTACGTGTCACATGTAACTTTGGAAGTTAGTTTTCTGCTTTCTGTCTGAAGGCCATCTACTTCACAGGAGCTGCTATTGCATCCTGGACTGGGAAATTAGTGGTGAACAGGTAAACTTGACCCTTCTCCCTTTTCTCTGTAGAATGAGCAGCACAGGTGTCACTTGAGCCTTGTCGTGTGCCCTGAGTGGGCTCAGCACGGCATTTCTCTCCACCTCTTCCCTCTTTAGGACCAACCTACCTTGCAATCATCAGCTGCCACTTCTGGCCTGAGCTGCCCCCCTGCCTCGAACATCTGCCCGTTCCAGGCCTTGAAGCGCACGGCTTTGTCCGAGGGTTTCTCGGAGGAGCCTTCCCGCCAGACGGAGGTGTTCAGGCAGTGGATGGTGATGTGCTGCACCACCTCGGAGCTCAGCAGGCGCAGGAAGTTCATCTGGACTCTGCCGATGTCAAAATCCAGCTGTGAAGGTGACAGAGAGGTCAGGGGTGCCCTGCAGAGGGGCTGGGGGCAGCTGGATCTGGCACGAGTGTGGGCATAGGGGCCAGATGCCAAATCAGTTTGGAAAGTTTTCTTGGGGACACAGCTGGTCCTTTAGTTTGCAGAACAAAACTGGAAGGTCCTTAAGTAGAAGGAAAACAGTGTAAAGTCTTACTTCAATACACACTTCTGCAAAGCAGCAGGTGCCACTTCATCTGCAAATGAACCCAGATGCTGATATTTGTATTTTTGGTGCAGGTGCTTCGTCAAGAAAACCCTGTAGCGCTAACTTTACTGGAAACTTGTATGTTTAAGCTGATCTCACTTTTTCAGGTGGCAGAAAGCAAAATGCAAGAGTGACCTGACCATAAGTTAATTCAACAAAGGATTTGGGAGAAGTGTGTTTGCAAAATTACTGGTCTTGTTAAGGTTATGGGTTTGTTAAACATTTCTGGAACTTATAGCTCTGTCTTGACAAGAGTCAATAAGAGTCTTGAGTGTATTTTTTTAACGCATGAGAACAGTTGTCAATGTTACAGCAGCACTAACTCTGCCTTGAGGGGAAACCTGTGTGCTGTGTCATCGTGGTCACTGTCTGATGTCACAGGACAACACCCCCTGTGTAAATATTTGGCAATACCAGGATGGGAAATGCCACTCTGGGGTTGAGCTGTGCCTACCTTGGAGACGGTGATGGGGCTGAGACACGTCTGCCCACCGTTGGTGAAGTTGCAGGTGACCTGGATGGTGTCTGAGGAACAGCCAAGATTTGGGTCAATCCAGTAGGTACCTGAAGAAACAGAAGATTTGGGGATTAACAGGGGCACTTAACCTTTTCTGGGAATGATAGAAGGGGAGTTTTGGTTTCTCCATGCCTGATTCCAGGGAAGGAGACCAGTTTGGGCCATATGGAACAGCCCTGTGGAGGACGCAGCCCTTTGCACACTCAGAGCTCCCTACCATCGTTCATCTTCTGTTCACAGTTCATGAGGTCCCGGCAGATTCGTGCAGGGTTTTCCTTGGTTCCCAGGGGTCTTTTGATGCTCTGAATGA